CCTACCGGTCTACCGGAATCCTCAGCATTCTAGGCCCTTAGTTCCCCGTCAAAAGCTCTGGCAGCTTAGTGCCAAGGCATTTGACTGCCTACCAGAAGGCTGGCGGTTCAAACCCACCAGCAGTTCCTAGGAAGGAAGGTTGGGCAATCTATTACTGTAGTGGTGCCACCTCAGAAACCCAAAGAGGGGCCATGGCATATAATAACAACAGCTTGCCTGCCAACCAAAATGCATTTGGACCAGGGAAAGGAGCTGGTCCCACTTCTCACTCCATTTCCAGTTTACCTCAGGGACAGGTTACATTTTCTCTACTACCATTTGGAGACTTTTTACCTTCCAGGAGAGGAAGAGAGATTTCCAAACAAAACCAAAGGTTTATCTGTTCAAAAGCAGGACAAATGCTGCTTTCTTTCCCAGGCGAGCCATCCCAAATGCAGCAGCAGCAGCAGCTGTGTCTGTCTGTCTGTCTGTCTCTCTCTCTCTCTCTCTCTCTGTGTGTTTGGGGAATAGGCATTTGCCCATCTAGTTCAATTCCTGGCTGCCAGGTAATCCTCAATGCCCACTAATTGACAAGACCTTACAGTGCTGTTTGCTGCGGGGTTGGAGGGCCCCTAATACTCATTGGTTGTGTGGACATTGGGAAGGCACCAAAGAGGAGTTTCCTCATAAAACTGCTGAAAGAATCGCAAAGCTCCCGAAATGCTTAAGAGACGGAAAGGGTAGTGTAGGTGGAGAAGGACTGAGGAAGGAAAAACCAGAGATACTACTGAATGAGGCATATTGATGCCAGAAAGTGGAATAGGGCAACCAGAGAAGAATGAAAACCTAAAACCTCTCCGGCGGAGACTTGCGCGCCATATTTGACTCCCCGCCTGTGTCCAAGCAGCAAATTCAGCATCTCTCCCTTGGCGCTAGCGCAGATGGTGGTCGCTGAACCAGGGACACCGGGGCGCTCCCGAAGCGCACCCGTCCAGGGCCCAGGAATGGAAAGGCGCGCTCCTCCTCCACAGCAGGAGCACCTCGCGGGGCGCGCGGAGGGGAATCCCAATCTCGGCTGGGCACTGTGGGGTTGAAGAGAAAGACCGGGAAGCGCCCGACCCACATCAGCGACGCTGCTCTGGGAGCTCTAGCCCTCGGAATGAGGGCGGCACTTCCAGGCCCCTTTTCTAGATGTGGCTGGTCCTAGGTGTTCTAGGTTCCTCCCGCTCGGGGTCACATTCCCCCGCAGAGCTGCCTGAAGAGATTAGTTGCCCGGAGGGAACACTTAAAAGAGGATAAGTGTTGTCTGGCCGTCCGGGTCTAGAGGGTGAAGTGTAGGTTACGTGAACCGGGAGATGAGAGACCAAAAGAAACGCCTGTGCTCCTCCCCCCACAACCCCTTGCACTGCATCGCGGGGGCGGTTCTTCCGACAAGTTGTCGGGCCTGACTGCTGCTGCAACGTGCACGACTCTGGGCGTCGGAGACTCGCAAAGCCGTGGAGATCTTGGGAACTTTCCCCCAGAGTGTCACGTTTCGGTCTCGGTTCTTGGGCACTTGGGAAGTCTTGCAGAGCTGTTTGCGCTTGCCTTCCTTGCCTCCGATTCCTGCGTGCTTGGGGGCGCACGTTGTACTGCAAACAGCCTGAGCTATCTTGTCCCACCCTCCCCTCTCCTTACAAATGTCTCGGAGAAGTCAAAGGATACCCAAGGAGAGGAATTTGGAATCCACTCCGAGAACAGGCTTTGAGATCGCAGGACCTAGGTGCCGGGTCAATCCCACATATTCTGCTACTAGTTGGGAAGCAAAAAAATGCTTGTGTAGCAATCTGTTGGCATTTATTTTTCCTCAGCCCTTGCGTGCTGCGCTCTTAGTATTCTGAGCTCGGGCCACCTGCTTGGACTTCGCGGGGCCGGCTAGCCTCTCTAACTGCCTCACCCTCTGACCCTGTTCCCTCCGCAGCTGTGAGCAGGCATTTACTAGATCCTAAACTAGCTGAATCCGAATCCAATCAATGGCGGTGGGTTTTGGTTGTATTGGAAACTAGCCCAGCAGATGGGCGGGGTTATGGAATTCTGGAAAGTCCAACCTGAGAGGATTAGAATACATCTGAATGCTTGAAAATGCATCATTAGAAATACAGTATTTCTGAGTTTGTCTCGGCTAAAGTCAACACTACTTTTTGGAACTCTCCCCACTACTTCCCACCAAAACGACCTGGTGGGGAGATTTATCAGCATAGCTACCCAATCCAAATTATCCAAAATAATTTGCCACGATTCCACTTATATGGATTGCCTGGGCAGTAGGTCGGCCAAAGCTCGGCTTTCTTCCTGGATATGTGATTAAGTTAATGACCATCCAAAAGAGAAAACAGGGGCGGCTGAACGAGTGTCTACATGTACCCTTCATAAACTCTGGTTCCAGATTATGAGGAATTCCTTTTGAGAACACAGTATTTGCTTATGTTTTGGTTGTTCATCCTTGTCTGAATCCCCAACGGGTAATGTAGTTGTGGTATTGAAGACAAGATTTTGGAAGAATTAAGATTGAAGGGAAGGGGCATTCAAGTGTTTTTGGAAAAGTTGGCCACAGGACAACTTTGATTGTTAGTTTGTCTTTACAGACGTTTGTTGTAGAGATCCACTCACTAGTGTCCAAGGCATGGGTGATTTAGTCTACCACTCAGGTATTAAGATTTGAGGATCCCTTGAGATCCATCTTCTATTTATCCTCCAATATTTTTCTCACTTCTTCCCATGAACTTCTGTTAACAATATAAATCTTGGTCTTTTCTCTAGAACAACGCTTTTACATGGAATTAAAGCTCAGTTAACTCATCAGGAAAATAATTTCCCCAATGTTAGTAGTACTTTAAAGACCAGATAATCTCCCTCATTCATTTTACAGATGAGAAACACAAAATGCAGGGAAGTCAAATTATGCCGAGAAGTAAAGTAGGGCCCCACTACTCTACTAGCTGTGGATAGCAGAGTTAGAACTGGAATTTTGAACCCTTCTTTTCATCATACCTTATTGGGACTGAATTTATCAGATTATCCAAAAATTGCTTAGGAAAAGTGAGAGAGGGTCTCAAAGAAGTGGAGTTAAAGAAAAAGAAAAAGGAAAAAAAGTCTAAAACCTTAAGAAAGCCAACCTACTTCATCACCAGTCAGAGTCACACTCCCTATGGATGCACCATTTTGTCCTCCTCCTGCTCCCTGTCCTAAAAATAATTTGCTCTGTAGTTGCCTTAATACAATAAAGACTTTAAAAACTTTTAGGAGAAAGCCATCAAATAGCCTGCAATGAGACCTTGTTCAAGTTTCCATTTCAGGCCTTTTTACAAGTGTCCTGCTTCTGACAAAATGGAGGGTAGATAGGATGTGAAGGAAGGAGAATAAATGGGAAAATGCACACCTATGTGACAGAGAAAATATTATAGCGACTACTTCATTCATCCAGTGACTATGAAGATGCCCATAGATTAAGAATACTCTTAAGACTCATTTCGTTTTGTCCTAATGATTGCAAGACAAGCCACATACACTTACATACATATATTCCATTTAACTTAAAATTATTGTCACTATGTGAAGAGTACAGAGGGACTTTTCATAAGGGCCAGGGTGGAGAGAGGGAAAAGTTACTTGTAGAGTTCTGCACTGTAATGTCTCAGATCTAGTTTTTGTTTCTGACGTTGTGTGCAGCTGGTTAAAACTTTGAAAGGAAAGCTGAGCTCTGCAATACACAGGCCATCACTGAACCATGATTTCAACAAAAAACTTTCCACATGATCTCCTAATGGATAATGGATAATGCTGAAAGGTCTTGGACTAGGAGATATTCTTCCATTTAAACATCACTTGTAGAACCGAAAGTGGACTTATCATCTGGTCTCCCTGATGAGGCCTGGAAATTGTTTGTCTTAGGCCATTTGTGAAGATGCTAATTACTCCACTGCTCAAAAGAATGTTGATGTCCCAGTGACAAGTTAGCTGAATGGCAAACATCCTTGGTCTAAATGATTTGTCTTTTAGTCAAAAAACAGCATTTTTCAGGTAAATATTTTCCAAAATGATAAATCAAATCTTGTCTCCTCACTGTAGGCCCAAATTTGCTTAGAGTAAATAAATGCAAGTAGGTCAGCCCTTAAAAACCAAACCAAAACCACTGCCATGGACTCGATTCCTACTCATAGGGACTCCCATTGGATCCAAGGTTGTAACTTTTTACTGAAGTAGAGTGCTTCATCTTCCTCCCAGGGAGCAGCTGGTGGGTTTGAACCACCAATCTTAGCCACCAGAAATACTGAAAAACAATTTCCAAATATTTGCTTTGAAGAAAATAGTCATTTATTGTCAAAGCATCCAACATACTCGGATAAACTATAAAGTTTAATAAATCTTTCCAGGAAAAAAAGAAACACATAACTATTCAGACTCCATATCACTGGCACAAAATTACACTTTGTATTAAAAGGAAATACATATTTACATAATTGATGACATCCTTCATTGAAGTCCATAATCATTTCATGATACATGCACTTCCCCCTGGAAACTTAAATTGAATTGTAACCCCTTTTTATCCATTTTGCTTATTTTTGTAAGAACACAAACTCATCCAGAAATGCAGAAAGCATCTCACCCTCCTCCTTTACTTTATATCTAAAATAAATTTTGCCCTCACATATGATTATTACATCTAAACTTTAAGTGCTTAATAATTTAAGTAGAAACGTATGACAAATGCATCAATATGTTGCAATATATGACATTTTTTTAAATGTACCTTTGTTTTTGGGATAGTGGAAATGCGTGCATTCAAAAGAAAACCTCCAAACAACCCACCCAATCAAAAAATCCACCATCTTGTCCCCTGCGCGCGCGCCGTGTGTGTGTTTGCGTCTGGGTGCAGTGTTTCTAGGGCTCAGGTTGGTGGTAGATATACTCATGTGTTGTTCCTGCACATGGCTTCACTTTGCGTGTGCGCGCATAGAAAGCCGGGGTCTTTTTCCGTGTCAGTTATGCGAGGTCATGTGCCTGGAGAGATGGTGGCGCTCCCTGAAGGACTCGTTGCAAATGGGGCACTTGAGTTTCTCCTCCCGCCGTCGTTTCACCAAGGGCTCCATTGCGTACTCTTTCTTATGGTGCGACCTCATGTGGTACACCAGGTCGGAGGTCATGCGGAAGGAGGCGTTGCACTTGGCGCACCAGTTCTGCGCCGGTAGACACAGGGAGGTGAAGGAAGGAGGCAGAAGCGTGAGCGCCGAAGGCAGCTGCAGCTGCAGGGGCCCAGCGGCCGCCGCAGAACTCTTGGGCCAGAAGGCGGTGGCGTAGAGGAAGGGACTCTGCTTGGGCAGGCCGCCGCCGGCGTTCGGCAGGGCCGCGCAGCCCCCGTTCAGGTCCGCGGCCCCCTGCAGCTTCACTGATAGAGGGTCAGCGGTGGCGGGATAGAGTCGGGTAGGGCCCACGCCGTCGCCCGGATGGCACGTCTCAAGCGCGCCCAGCTTCTGGCCCAGCACCAGCGGGGACAGCTGCGAAAAGGAGCGCGCCGGCTGTGAGAAGGCGCTTTTGCGCTCGTCTGACGCGGCGCCCTGCCCGCCGCCCGCGGCCCCGCTGCTAGCGCTGCCGCCCGCACTGTTGCAGCCCGCACCGCCCAGCTGTGGCAAAGAGGTGAAGGCGCTGCCCCGCGCCGGGCTGCCGCCCTCCAGTCGGCTG